GTGGCAGCTAGGTGGTGCAGTGGATAGAGCCCTGGGCCTGGGGTCAGGAAGATCTGAGTTCAAATACACCCTCAGATACTTATTAGCTGTGTGACCCTGGGCAAGTTACTTAACCTCTGTTTGCCTCAGTTTTTTCAACTGGAAAATGAGGGTGATAATAGCACCTGCCTCCCCGGGCTGTTGTGAGAATCAAATGAGATAATATTTGTAAAATGCTTAGCACCAGGCCTGGTACATAGTAGAAGCTTAATAATACTTGATTCCTTCCCCTTTAGTAGGCAGCTGTGCACTTGTAGCGGTGTGAAGTGAGTTTCAAAGACACAGTCTCTAACCATCGTGGATCTTACAAGGCAGTCAAGACTCTATCTATTTATCTATCTAGTCTTGTGCATGTATAATAGAGACTATATATATATATGTATATACATACGCACATATACACACACATATGTATATATACATATATACATACATGATATAAAGCATATAGAAACTAATGTAAGAATATATAATAATAATAAGTGTAATAAATCCCTCATGCCCTGGCACTCACAGGTTCATGTTGCTGTCCACTCAGACATTCTGACCTTCTAGCTCATCAAACTCTTCAAACGCCATGACCTATACCTTCACTCCGCCTCACCCCCACACAGAAATGGCCATCCAGCCTTGATCTCATCAGCACTTACTTCCACTGAACTGGAAGATTCCTCTGGGTGAATTTAACCTCTTCCCCTTCCATATCTCTTCCTGCGCTTCTCTCTTCCTACATCAGTTATTCCTCCCCAAGGTAACCTCCAGGCACTCTGCCCCTCACACCCTGGCTGTCTTCCCAGTTCAGGCCTCACATTTCTCCCTTCCCATCTTGAGGCTATAATTAACCAGTTCAACCATCTTCATGCACAAACTTCAACTTTGGAAACCCTTGTGTTTTCACTCATCCCTTTCTAAACCCCAACCCTAGATTAACCCCACCTTCTGTCTTCCCTGCTCCAACTCCATGCTGTCAAACTCTCTGTTTTCTGACTCTACCTCCTGCCAATTTGTGTTATCCATGTCTCAAGAAGATCCTCAATGCCAGAAGGAAATCCTTTTCCTCCTTCTTGATAGGCTTTCTATCACACTCCCACCAGCAGCTACTGAGAACCTTCTTTTCTGTCCTCATCAGGCCTTCCACCACACTCTCTCTTCCTCCACTTCAACAACAGACCTTGTTTTATATTTTACTAAGGAACAATAGGTCAGTCAACATGAGGTTCCTCTGTTCTCCTTTTATACACCTCAAAAACCCTTGACATTATCCCAATTCTCTTTTTGACTCCAGTCTCTGGCCAGGAGGTGGCCAGACTAACACTTTTCCTCCCCACTTACACTATTTCTCTCCTTAATGTTTGATCTTTCCCTGTATTTTGGCTCCTTCCCTGCTGCCTACAAACATGTCTCCTTCATCCTTAAATCATCCTCTACTTGACCCTATCATCCATCAAGCTATTGTCCTCTATCTCCCCTTCCCTTATGCAAACTCCTTTAAAAAAAAAAAGCTGTCTAAAATCATTACCTCCACTTTTCCACTCATTCTCTTCTCTTCCTTATCATCAAATGAAACCAGTCTCTCCTAGGTGAAGGGTGATCTATTAATTGTCAAATCCAATGTCTTTTTTTCACTTCTAACCTTTCTTGACTTCCTTTCTGCATTTGATGCTCTTGGCCAGCCCATCCCCCTCAGTACTCTCTCTCTCTCTCTCTCTCTCTCTCTCTCTCTCTCTCTCTCTCTCTCTCTCTCTCTCTCTTTCTCTCTCTGGGTTTTCATGACTCTGCTGTCTCCTCTCCCTCACAAGAGGTATTATAACATAGTGGACAGAGTGCAAGTTCCTTAACCGCTCTGTGCCTGTTTCCTCATCTGTAAAATGAGGGAATTGGACTTGATAGCCTCAAAGGTCTTTCCCAGCTCCAAATACAAGATCCTAGTTCTCCTACCTATCTTTGCTCACTTTCAGTCCCCTTTACTGTATCATCTTCCATGCCTATTCCATAATTGTATCTCTGATCAGCTTGTCTTGTCCCCTCTTTTTTTTCTTTTTATACACTCTCTCTAGGTAATCTCAATAACTCCCATGGGTTCAATTATCTTCACTATGCAGATCTCTCAGATTATAGATCCAGAGCTATTCCATCTTCTGAGCACCAGTCCCATATCACCAAGTACCTACTGGTCATCTCCAAATGGATATTCCATTGACATCTCACACTCAGCACGACTAAAACAGATCTCAATATCTTCCCTCCCTTCTCTCCATCCACTCCCCACCCCCAAACAGTCCCTTTTCCTTTCTTTTTTCTGTCAAGGGCACTACCATTCTTCCTTTCACTAAGTTTGCACCTAGGACTCATCCTCAACACTCTATTCTCCCTCACCATCCATATCTGCTACATTTAGATTAGAACAGCCCACCTCTGATGTGCTTCATAAGGAGTAAAAATGACACTAAAGAAAGCAGAATAGAAAACATGGAAAGACCAGATTAAGCACAAACAAAAGAGGTCTGGGCTGAAAATGATACAATTTGAACGATGCAAAAGGTTCAATTCCAGGGATGTGCTGGAGCCATTTGAAAGTGAGGGGAGGGAAGGAAGTGTGGGAGAGCGCCTTCAAGAGCTGGTTGTTAAAATTTCAGTTTGAGCATTCACATCTCAGAATATTAACCGTACACTCCTGCATTTTCAAGATACCTGAAAGAAATTAGGATACCAAATGCTTGTATGGACATCACTGTTTTAGCATTACTAAAAATAAAAACAAAAAACAGAATTCAAAAAATACCACTAGTGTCCAATTCATGTGGTTATTTTCCCATGTCTGCAAATCTTTATGAAAATAAGATCTAAGTATGCATTGAGATCTCAGTATGCATTTAGCATTTGCTAAAGGAATGAGACCAAACAGTCAAGTTTTTGCAAACAATATTCTGTGATAGACTACATCTTTATAGGCATAATTGACTGAGAGAGAAAAAAACACCGTCCTTGTTTTATTTGCTAGGTCATAACACTGTATTGAAAGCTCTCCTCCACCAATGTCTTTCATATGCTAAAATTATATAAGATTCCTTGAAAAATGGGACAAGAGAGACAACATCGAAGATGCTCTAATAAGTATTACGCAGGAAGCGAAGGTAGTTGCCACTGTCATTGAGGCTGTCCAGCAAAGAAGCTAAATCAAGAAGAGATTCCCTATAAATGATGAGATCTCTTGTGCTCATAGCATAAAGCCCCAAAACACTGCAGAGACTCTTAAATGAGATCTATAATCATTCAAAAGAGTTTGGCCTAGCTGTCCAAACAAGAAAAATCAAGTGGATGAAAAATGCCTTTGTGAAGTTAGCTGGACAATATGTAGAGTTGTAATGTTGATGAGTGTGTGTGTATTTTTATGTATGTGTTTACATATTTGTATATGTACAGATACACACACATGTGTGCATGCAAGTATATATGTCACAAAACTTATGTATCTGTTCAGATTGTGCATGTGTATAAGTATGTATGTGTGTGGGTATATATGCATGTATGTATATCTGTGCGTGTCTATATGTATATATGGTGTATGTGTGTAGACACACATGTCTGTATATGATATAATGCACATACATGCATAAACCACACATATTGCATACTTAGAATGCACATGTACATGCATATGAGTATATACGTGTATATGTATATATGTGCATATTTATATTTATATACACACATATATGTGCTTGGATGCTTCAGATGAACAATGAAGTAGGCCCAAACTTGGAGAGGAAGAGAATCAGCTGAATTTTGGGGGGTAAATTTCCTAGTGCTTTTAGTGTCTCCAAACTTCTTCCTGAAACAAAGGGCCACCTTTTAATGTAATATTTTTCCCGTGATGTTTGATAGAATACCACAGCCTCTAAAGAATTAGAATTTAGGTTACCCAAAGTCCAACAGAGAAGTGCATGGCTCGTTTCAGTAGTCTGCAATACAGTACTGGTGAAGAATTATTCAGGAGACATGACATAAAGGCTAGGATCAGAGATACACGTGACCAGAAAAGGAAGTTACTCAGTTGTGTAGAGAAAGCAAGAGGATAACCGATAAACAGCCTTTGTGGTCCATTGGTATGAATGTACATCATAGACAGGGAAGGAACCCCAGAGCACAGTAGGTAGAATCCTTGTGGAGGACAGGCAGAAAGATGTGGACAAGAGTTACCTAAGGTGAATGGATATATTTGGGATACGATGTGCAAAATTGACAGGAGTAAAATAAAAAACTGTTTGGCCTAGAATTTAAGCCCTTCCACAATTTCTCATCAAATTATTCAGCCTCATTTCATACCACCCCCCTTTATGCACTTTACATTCTAGCCCAAGGGGTTGACAAACTTTAGCCTGAGGGCCAAGTGGAGCCCCAAAAGTTCATGGGCTGTCCCAAAAACAGTCGGGGCAGGCTAGATTTGACCCTCAGGCCATAGTTTGCTGACTCTATTGGTTCTGAAATTGTGGTCCAGTAACCCTTGGGATTCCCCAAGATCTTTTCAGGGAATATAGGATGTCAAAACTAGTTTCACAATAATAGTGACAATTTTTAATGTGATAAATATCAGTAGATATAACCCACATAAACCAAAGCTCTTTGGAGGTCCTTAAGAATTTTACATATAAATATAGTAATAATTATTTTTAAGAATATAAAGAGATCCTAAAACCAAAAAAGTTTAACAACAACTTAATCAATAAACATTTATGAAGTGCCTACTATGTGCCAGGCACTGGGGATACAAAAAGAAGAAAAAGACAGTCCCTGCCCTCAAAGAATTTACAATCTAATGTGAGAGAGAACATGCAAACAAATATATACCAAAAAAGCTCTAATTAGGATAAACAGGAAATAATTAACAGAGGAAAGGCACTTAGTAGCTATTTTTTTTTTCAACTCAACCATCCATCTCCCTCTTCTGTTTCTTTTTACAGGTTACCCACAGATGTCTGTAATGCACTTCCTCCTTGTCTTTGCCTCTCAGAATCCTTATCTTCAATCAAGACTCAGCTTAGGTGTCACTTCATCCATGAAGTTTTCTCTAATTTCCTTCCAGTTTTTAGTCCTTTCTCCCCTCAATGTTCCTTGTACTGTACTTACCCAGGTACCTATTGTTCTCCCTAGAATAGGGAGATGAGAACAGTTTGTTCTGATGGCCATAAAGGTGGCTGAAGCAGGTGCCATGGAGTGCTTAGAGCCTGGTCTGACATCAAAGATGCTGAGGTCATCTGCTGCATCCTGGGTCACTGCCAATCGTCTTGACTTTTGTCTTGTCCTTGGACATCGATGACTCTGGAAGAGAGAGTGAGGCTGACAACTTTGTGCAACCCTGCCTCACTTAAATCCGATTCATGAAGCAGTCAAGCCATCACCGGTGGATGTCACTGGTCCTCTTTGAAAATGAAGGACAAACAGCATTCTCCCTGGTACAATGCCAGTTCTTTGACGGCAGGCGCTGTAGTCTGTGTCTTTGTATCCCCAGCTCTTAGCACAATGTCTTACATGTAGTAATTGCTTAATACAAGTTTGTTAAACTGAATTGAATTACTGAGAGTATAGATTTATCAAAGCACCAAAGTAAACAAAGCTTGTTTCATATTCATATCTTGCTAGCCTGAAGGCTTGCATGGGAACTAATAGTCCTTTCTTTTTTTGTGACCATCTAGACACATGTCAAATTCTGATAAATCCAGGGGAAACTTTAGTGGGGTGGGAAGCAAAATGAGCCAAATTCTGATTTTTTTAAGGGAAAATCTGGGTAGGAGCATTAGCCATCAAGTTATTATTGAGAAGCCTTCAAGATGTAATAGGGAATCATGTGAACTTAGAATTCCAGGTCTGATAAGCTGTATTTGTAATGCCATAACTCAGCACAGCACCTTGTAACATAATAAATGGTAATTGAATTGAATGTAGCTCATTTGTGGATGAAGAATATCTTCAATAATCAGCATGCCTTCCACTGAGCCATATCTCTCCTCCAAAAAGTTGAAGGACTTGGACTTCCTGGCTATTGTCTTAGGAGGCAGCTGGATGGACCAGTGGCTAGAGTTCTCCACCTGGAGTTAGGAAGACCTGAGTTCAAATCTAGCCACAAACAATTACTAGCTGTGTGACCTCGGACAAGTCACTTAACTTCTGTTTGCCTCAGTTTCCTCAATTGTAAAATGGGTTAATAATAGCACCTACCTTCCAGGGCTGTTGTGAGGATCTGAGATACTATTTGTAAATGTATTATCACAATGCCTGGCACACAGTAGGTGCTAGATAAATGTTTGTTCCTATTCCCTTCCGTTATGTAACCTCACCAACATTCCCCCCCCCCCAAAGTAGAGCAGATAATGCTAAGATTCTTTTGGTGAATGTAAGAAGTGACACTAAGGAGTTAAATGGCTTATCCAAAGACACACAGAGTAGAGTCAGGATCTAAAGTTCCTTTGACTACATCTCTTTCTCATATGCTCATGTGAAGGGAGATCCTTCCACCCTGGACACTCAGGGTTTGGGTGCAACTAGAGGCAGAAGAAAGGAAGGGAAAGAAGGAAGGACACTGAAAAGGAAAAAGAGGAGAAACCATTGGATTGGGGGTGGGGGGACTGAGGCTCGAGTATTTAAGTGTCTTGCTCAAGACCATAAAGCAAACTGAGACTAGGTCTTCCTCAATAGCCCCTCGTTTCAGCCAGAAACTTCCAAAGTCTTCTGCTGGCTTCTTTCTTTCTTTCTTTCTTTCTTTCTTTCTTTCTTTCTTTCTTTCTTTCTTTCTTTCTTCCTTTCTTTCTTTTTTCTTCCTTCCTTCCTTTTTTCTTTCCTCCCTCCCTTTCTTTTTTCTTCCTTTCCTCTCCCTCCTTCTTTCTTTCCCTCCCTCCCTCCCTCTTTCTTCCTTCCTTTTTTTTTTTTGGAAACCACACCTATCACAGCTGTCAAAAAGCAGCAAACCCAAAAGATATATTTCTTTTTCCTGCCACTCACAGTAGGGGCTGCTCTGTTCCTACCCACCTTGTTCCCTTTGAGGAAAGCCCAAAGGTAAAAGAGGCTATGATAGTATCATCATCATCCCAGAAAGGGGGTCTCTAAAAGAGAACTGACACCTACAGGGATCAGAAGGGCAAACCACTTTGGGGGAGCTTCACGGGAAATGGGGAAGTTGTGGGGACACTCATGTGGTTAGTGGCCACGTCTGTCATCCTTCAGGCCTGTGGGCCAGGTTTGGCTGGCTGCTGCTACTGGAGAGCTCCTTCTCCTGGGCCTGCCCTTGGACCATCCAAGCCTTCCCAGCTCCAACAGTAGCCCACAGCACATCTACAGCCGTACCACTCCTCCCCTCCACATTCTCCCAATGAGCCCGTGCTCCACCTGGCGAGGCCCTCATTCTTTGGCCCTGTCAGTTTCAGATCCTCTAAGGTAGCTCCAGTTTTGGATTAGGTCGGGAGGCCAATTCTCAGAAACAAAGGAGCCACCCCTTCCCCCACCCCCATCCGACAGCTTCCTTCCAGTTAAAACACGCAGCCTGACCCATTCTGTGAAATAAGACAGGGGTATTTTAAGCAGGCTCTGTTTCATCATCTTGAATCTCGGTGGCAGCCGCAGGAGCCTCTAGGAGCCAGCAAGTTAAAAAAAAAAATGAGTCTCAATGTTCCAGGAGAAGAAGTCCGGGAGGTCGAAGTAGCTGTCACAAGGCTGTCCTGGGGAGGAGGGCTCTCTCCTGCCAGAGCCAGGAATTCAGACCTGAGCCTCCGAGTCTGAATTCCAGAGGAGGGTGAGGGGTGACTTCCCTCTCTGAAGTGACTCACCACTAAGTTCCCTTAGCTTGGATCCTGTCAGGAAACAGTAAGTTAATTGTGGACCATTGTTTCCCTGGCGGCATATGAATAAGTGTGAGTAACTGCTGAAATAGAAAAGACTATTTGAGGAGGGCAATTCAGTTTAAAATTCTAAAGAAAGGGGTGGGGAAGACTAGGATCCTGTTCACTGAGAGATGAGTGTGAGCGAGTTTTCCCCTCGGTCTAAAGTACTAAGTTCCACATTCTCACTGACCCCAAAGGCAGAAGCACTTTCTCCTCCAGTTGATGCCTGAAGGAAGGATTGTAAAGAGAAAGAGGACTCCAGAATTAGTCATATATCCTTTAGATAGTTGATAGGGACGGTAGAAATTAGCCAGTCCAAGTCCTCCCTTACCTACCTCTTCTATTGTAGATAAAGATGAGAGACCGAATGGTAGAGAGGGAAGGATGCAAGACCTACCGAGAGTGTGTCAAGTGGAAAGCTCAAGAATTAGAGGACCAGTGGTTCAAATTTCATCTCCGATATTAACTGCTTGTGTGACCCTGAACAAGCCATTGCGTTCCTTGGGTCTCATTTTCCTCCTCTGCAAAATGGGGAGGGGGAGGGGGTGTTTGGTTTAGACTGCCTCGGAGGTTCCTTCCAGCTCTAGAGATCTAGGATAATTGACTTGAGTTTGAAATGCATTTTGACACTGGTTGGATGACCTCGAGGAAACTTCTTTTCATCTGAAAAGTGGACATAATAATAGCACCTGCTTCACAGGGTTAAGACACCTTAAACAAAATGTGTAAAGTGCTATGCAAATCTTAGAATGCCCTGTTGGTCCTCCAGGCCTAGAGAATGCTCTCCTTCCTCAACTCTGTCTCCTAGCTTCCTTCAAGTGCCAGCTACAATCCCACCTCCTTCAGGAAGCCTTTCCTGATCCCCCTTGAGTCTAGGGCCTTCAACTTATCCTGTATATTGTTTATTTGTATATAGCTGGCTGCATGATTTCTCCCCAACTAGCCCCCTGAGAGCAAGCTATAATGCTGTCATCATCATCCCAGAAAGGGGGTCTCTAAAAGAGACACTGGGAGGTCTTTTCCTGTTCTTTGTATCCCCAGTGCTTAGCGCACACAACTGTTGACATTCAGTTGTTTCAGTCGTCCAACTCTTCATGACCCTATTTGGGGTTTTCTTGGCAGAGATACTGGAGTGGTTTGTCATTTCCTTCTCCAGCTCATTTTATGGATGAGGAAGTGAGGCAAACAGGGTTAAGTGACTTGCCCAGAGTCACATAGCTAGAAAGTGTCTGAGGCCAGATTTGAACTCAGGCCTGACTCCAGGCCTGGTACTAGATCTATCCACCACCCCACCTAGATGCCCTAGCACACACAGTAGGTGATTAAAAAATATTTATTGATTTACTGAGTTGCTATTATTATTAAAAGTAAGCAATTAATAAATGTTATTGACTTGAGTTATTACTAAAAGGCAATTAATAACTGTTACTGACTTATTGAGCTATTATTAAAAGTAAGAGATTGATAAATGTTATTGAGTTATCAAGAGTAGGTGATTAATAAATACTATTGACTTATTGAGTTATTATTATTAAAAGTAGGCAATTAATAAATGTTTATTGACTTACTGAGTTATTATTAAAGGAAGACAATTAATAAAAGCTATTAACTTACTGAGTTATTATTATTAAAAGTAGACAATGAGTAAATATTTATTGACTTAATGAGTCAGTATTAAATCACTGAATGTCAGAGACTGAAGGGGATTTAGTGACCATCTAATGCAACCTCTTCCATCCCTCATTTTACAAATGAGGAAATTGGAGCTTAGGGAGTTGAAATGATCTGCTCTAACTCAGGTAGCAAGAATCAGAGATAATGCAGGTTCTCTGACTCTAGAGCTCTTTCTATCCTGTGCTCCCTCCTGAGGTCCAGTAAAGGGAAATAACTTGGGATCATAAAATCATCAGGTTTGATTTTGTTCAACCCCCTCATATATCAAATGAGAGGAAAAGTGATCAGTCTCACTGACTGGCCAGCAATAGGTCCCAAGCCGAGCCCTACTTGGGCATTGTTTGGGTCCTGATTGGCTCAGACTGAATGTAAATAGCAATTGTTTCTGTTTTGACCAGAAACCCTGAGGGTCTTCCCCTCCCAAATGGATTTTTAAAAATTTAATTTATTTATTCATTCATTCATTTATAATTTTGACTAGGTAAAAAGGCCATTCTCTGCCAAAATTCTTATTAAACCTTAGTTACTGAATGGATGTTGCCTCAGTCAAATTGAGACCTGTTACAGACCTTAGCTTGGAAAAGCCAAGGTCCCCCACTGTACACAGGGCCATCTCCAGTTATCCTGATTCATATCTGGCCACTGGACCCAGCTAGCTCTAGAGGAGAGAGTGAGGCTGGTGACTTCACATAGCCCTCCCTCACTGAAATCCAGTTCATTTACATGTCATGCATCACCTCCCTGATGTCATGGTCCTCTTGGAGTTCATTAACGAAGGAGAAACAGCAAGCACCCAGCAACCGTGATCATTCTAGTCCTTCTTGTGACTTCAAGGACTGCCTTTTTGTTGAGATACGTCTCCCTCCATCTGCACAGATCATTAGCTCTCAACAGCTCAGTAGCCAGGATACTAGGGATTGCAGTGACCAAAGACTCCTCACCCTGGAGCCAGCCGGGTGATGGGCAACTCTGCTAGGCTGGTCCTCAGGTGACATAGACCCCACCTAAAAGTCTTTCCATCTGGGTAAGATTTGCCAACACTTGTGTGGTGCTGGCATAACCTGCAAGACCCCAGGTTCACCTCAATGTCACCATAAAGCATAAGAGTTGGATTGTAATGGAGGCCCAATATCACACCCCAGTTAATGGCAGAGCTTGGAAAAGAACCTTTAAAGAAAGACATATTATACAATGCCCCGTGGGAGATACAGTGAAATGTAAATCCCTGCCCTCAAGAAGCTTATATTCTTGTTTATCATTATTTATATGATGTAAAGCACTGGTCTACTGTGGCTCTGGGCACTGTGCCGGACACTGGTGATAGAAGAGGTATAAAACACAGTCCCTGTCTTCAAGGGGCTTATAATCTAGTTGGGAACACTAGAACAAGTAAAGAAAAGCTCATTGGGAAGATAAGACACATCTAAGTGAAAAGTTAGCTTCTAGCACAAGGCAGCTGACAGGAAGTGACAAATAAGTGGTACACATTATTAAGTCCTGCAGGAGTTTGAGGCACCATGACATAAAGCAACCAGGTCACCTGGGTTCTCCTCCCATTCACTGCAGCTGATTCACTGGGTGAACCTGACAAATCACTTAATCTTCCTGGACCTCCATTTCCACATCTGTAAAATGGAGAAATCAATCCCTGGCCTGCCAAACTCATTGGGTTTTAGCGAAGCTCTGGTGAGATAATAGATATGGAGATGCTGTGCAATTGGTAAGATTTTCTTATTTTAATTGAAGTTGCCTTGGCAGTCAGTCAGTCAATAAACATTTACTAATGGCCCACCTACGGTGCTAAGTGCTAGGGATGCAAAGAAAGGTGAAACTCAGTCCCTACCCTTAAGGAGTTTATAATCCAATGGGGGATACAACGCAGAAAAAGAAGCTGAGAGGGGGAGGATTCTTGGCATGGGGGGGAGGGGAAAGATGCCAGCCAGGTAGGAAATAATGAGGTATCTGCTTTGGGCCTCCTCTTTAAATGGAAGATCTAGAAGGAGCTCTCCCTCCACCTCCCCAATCTTAGGGAGGGCGGGGCCCCAGGAATAAGGGGTACTGAAGAAATTGAGTTTCAGACCTGACTTGATCTTACAGAAAGATGAGTTTCTAGAGACAATGGTGGTAGGAAATGACCTCTTAATGAACTCTTTGAGCAGAGGGCACCACTGAAGTCTGAGTACCAAGGCTGATTGTTATCTTGCAGAATGAAGAGATTCCTCTGGACTTGATTTCCCAAGCTAATAAAGGTCTGAGGTGGGATTCGATTTCAGGTCGTCCTGATTCTCAGACCAATCAGATAGCCACTATTTCATTCTACCTCTCAGTCAGGTTCCTTGCTTTCATCAGGGTGGGCATCCTCCCTCCACCATCGGAGATCACAAATCTCCCACTCCTCCTCTTCCTGCGTGATTTTTGTCCTTGTCTTTCCATAGATCTCCCATCGGTGATCCACCCAAATGTGCCGGAGGCCTCCCTCTTGTTCTTTAAATAGTTCAGAGCTGCCAATGCGGCACGGGGCTGTCCATATGTTCTTCTTACTCTTGCTAAATGACTAATACACCTCCTTCCCTAGTCATGCCCATCCTGGATGATGTCTTTGATGCTACTTTTCTCATGCAAGTCATTGTTAGCAATGGGCAGCAGCTTACACAAACCATGTGTCTCACTATTGCCCTCTGGGTCACCTGCCATTTGGATTCTTCTGAGATCATGGCATTCCATGATTCATAATCCAAGAGTGTCATCGGGGAAATAAGTGACCCATGAAACAGAAAAAAAAAAGCTAAGGAACAAAAAATAACCCACATATCTAGGCTACTTTGCAGTTTACAAAGGGCTTTCTTACAACCACCTTTTGAAATAAATACTGCAAAGGCTGTTATGCCCATTTTACAGATAAGGAAGCTGAGGCTCAGAGGCCCATGAAATGGGAAAAAATGCTAGGGAACAAAAATAACTTACATATCTATAGCTCTTCATAATTACTTCCAGGATTGTTAATGCACATTTTACAGATAAAGGAACTGAGACTCCAGAATGTTAAGTGATTTGCTCACAGTCACAGGGGCTGAGTGTCAAAGCCAGGTCTTTTGGCTTAACCAAGTCTGCTGTTCTTTCCATCTTATCAAGCTACCTCTTAGGTTAATAGATAATGGAGTGCGAAATTTTGAAGCCCTGAGTAAGAGAATGGTCTCTCATCATAGCCGAAGGGCTAATTCAGAAGATGATAATAGTTTTCATTTGGATGGTTTTGTTTTTGTCGAGACCTGTAACTGAGCTAGTTGAAGTAACTCCCAGTGAGGAAAC